TGGTTTTTGCTTGCTCTTAGGGATAAAGTCCAGGTTGCTGCCATGGCTTTCAAGCTGTGATTCAGCACCCTGCAGTCCCATCTCATGCAGTTTCCCTTCTTACTCTCCACTGTCCTTATCATCGGGTCACCTGTATGTTCCTCAGGAATGCTGCACTTCCTTCTGGCTCTAGGCCCTCAGCGCACACTGGCCCTGCTGGGGGGCACCCACACCCTTCTTGGTTCTACCATCTCCTACTTGTCCCACTGCATTTGTCTTCTTGGAGCCTCCTAATTCCTTGTGAGCTCCTCTTCCCAGCACTGAGCCACGTGATCTGAGTAATTAGTGCTGCTACATTCAACGTCTGCTACCCCTGGGCTCATCATCTTCCAGGCCCAAGACAGGTCCAATTCATCCAGTACCTGGCATGTACACTGCCTTACAGGGCAGGTGCCGAACTTTGCTAATAAGGTGCAGAAACAACTTCTTGTCTAGCAGTTTATTACATATACAAGAACTTGGAAATACCAAATATCCTCATTACCCTGAGAACCTTGAAAATCTATAAGCTAACCAGTTTTATTCAAGTTACAAAATGGAAATGTAACTCATAGCATTTTTATTCTCCATCCTTCATAGGGAATCTAGTCTAAGTCAGCACCCATAGCTGGTAATGACTTTTAAAGGTGTATGTATATAATAAAAGTTTAGTGCTGGCAAGATAGCTCAGCGGACTAAGCGCCTGCTTGGGCAAGCACAGGGACCGGGGTTTGATCCCTGGCACCACATCTCTTGCTGGCCCTGCCAAGTCACTGAGTCAGGGCATGGTAGTGCATGCCTATAATTCCAGTGCTGGGGAGGTTGAAAACAGGAGGATCACTATGAGCCCGAGCTGCACATTGAGACCCTGTACCAAATAGATAAATAAATAAATAAATAAATAAACATAAATGTATGTTTAAGTGTTGGAAATTATGACAAAACTGCTAAGGGGCTAATGAGCTGAGAGAAGTAATGGTGACAACTGATATGGGTTCCAATGAAACACAGAGCAGTGTGGACATCCATAGGGGCTCTCCTAGTCCTCAGTCAGGGTCTAGGACAGAAGCAGGACCAACAGGCTCACATGACTGTTGTCATTCCTTCAGTGGCATCAGCCTCTTGAACTTCTTGACCCCTGGCCTGCCTATGTGCCATCTATCCCTCCCTCTGCCCTTTTCCTGATCCTTTTACTTTCTTTTAGAATCTTTTTGTAAAACTCCTTTTCCTCTTTACCTACTCCACAGATTTCAATGTATTTCCCTAACTAATAAACATCATGTCAGTATTTAGGCAATTTCCTAATGTGTTATTTTAGAAAAAAAAAAGATTATCAGATCATTTAGTCACTCATTGGATGATAAACTGATAAGCCCAAGAAACTTCTGACAAGATGTAGTTTCCTGACCATCGTTTTATTTCATTTTTTTATTAATTTTATTATTTTTTTTGTTTTTTTATTTTGGTGGAACCAGGGATTGAAGGCTGGCCCTTGTGCTTGCCAGGCAAGCACTTATTCTACTGAGCCATCTCCCCGGCAGCCCTTAAAATCTGGGCAGTAAGTTCCCTGATCTACCATGCCCAGGCACTGGTACCCGCCGCACGGCTCTTCCAGGGCAACTGCACAGGTTCCCTATCTGCACGTCCACCGCTGCACACATGTGGCTGTGGGCTTCAGGGCTGACAGTGGCTACCAGTCCTCCCAGCTATGAGAAGCAAGAGAGTGTGTTCTCACAGACGAATCATGGCCAGTCCCAACAAACCTGTTTCTCTCACACCTTTTCCTTTCTTGGCCTCCCTTGCAGCTAAAGAGACACAAAATAAACAGTGAGATAGAATTGTTTTCTGATAAAAAAATATGCAAGCTAATTCCTGTGCTAACTACCTGCTTATGTTTATGTGAGGATATGACATCCGGAGCTGCAGCAGCCACACTGTGATTGTAAGTGGAGCTCAAGCATTACACACATATAACCCAAAGTTGCTACATAAAGCTGGGGAACAGCTACTTCAGACATCTTGTTAAATGAAATGCTCAATGTCTTCTTGCTGAAGCCAGTGATCAAGACTTTTTTCTCCTACATTCAGATGTTCTGGTCAGGTCTTGGGACCTTGGGATTCCTTGGAGAGACCACTCCTTTAAACACTGAACAAAGCCTAGAGATAGCAGACAACTCAGCCAGAGCACATTTTCTACATACAAACCAACCAAGTCAGACCCTACACTCCAGCCATCGCCTTTGTCAGCTCTTACACGCCAGGCTATCATCCACTGGCTCCACTGGGGCCAGGTACTAGACAGCTAGGAACAGCCTCATAACTCAGAGCTTGTTTAAGTTTCTAAAACTACTCAATCCTAAACTGGCTTACCCAGCCTCACTTGTTCCTTCCTGAAGAAACTATAAGAAAGGCTCTGGTTTACATCCCTGTACTTCAGCTCCCTCAGCCACCCTGGGGCATCACTGTGGGACTCTGTGGCCTGGCCTGTCCCTTCCTCTTGGGAACTTTGAGGAACAAACTGTCTTTTCAACTGCAGTCTCCTCTGACCTGTTGCTCTTACTATACCTTAAATTTGCCAGCAAATCACTACAGTTTAGAGCACTCAGGGAGCCAAACATCTCCTATCTAATAGAATTTGCAAGGGTCTTGATCTAATGAAAGCACCACAAATCTAGGTAACTCTGTCTTACCCCAGGGCCAAAAAAATGCTAGTACTAATGTATTTATAAACACAAAGACTGGTTTTGAGCCTCTGGTGACTACAGTCAGATGGGACTCTCTTCATATCAAGACATACCATACCTAAGATCAATTTTTTTTTTTTTTTTTTAAAGGAGTGCCTTCTTACGCAGAGCACAGCGGCCAGGGTTCAATACCCAGCTTGCTGTGTTGGCCCCGCCCCTGGGGCCCAAAGAGAAAGCGATTGAGACTGAGTGTGGTGGCACATGCCTGTAATCCCAGCGCTTGGGAGGTTGGAAATAGGAGGATCACTATAAGTTCAATCTATGTAGTGAGACCCTGTAGACCTTGTCCTAAATACATTTTTCAAAAAATTATTTTAAAAGGAGTATTTCGGGCCAGCGAGATGGCTCAGTAGAATAGGCACTTGCCTGGCAAGCGCAAGGGCCTGAGTTCAATCCCTGGTTCCACAAATAAAATAAAATAAAAAATAAAAAATAAAAGGAGTGTTTCTTGGAATAAAGGAATGTGGGTCAAAGGCAGACATGGCTCCAGGTCCCATCAGGAATAGCTCCTAGAGTTCCACACGTGCTATGCACTTGATAGAAAGATTTCACATCCAAAGTAATTTTAAAAACCCTCATTTTAGATTATTAGATTCCCTTTGCTGAAATTCCTGACACACATAGAATTATTTCTATAGCTATTTTCCAGATCTGGGAGTTTTATTTATGCAACACAGGAGTGATTCCTGCTTGGAATATAGGTTAAGCATCCCAAGTCTTGAAATACAAAATTTAAGCACTCCAAAATCTGAAACATTTTGAGCACTGATAGGATGCCACAAGTAAAAAGTTCCACACCTGACCTCATGGGATGGGCCACCGCCGAAACACAGATGCATGAAAAATGCTGCCTAAAATTAACTTCGGGTGGGACTGGAGAGATGGCTCAGTGGTCTAAAGCACCTACTTAGAACAAGCTTGGCAAAGCAGGGACCGTGGTTCTAATCCCCCAGCACCACATGCCAGCCAGCCCTGCCCCCTGGTGGGCTGAGCTGGCCACACACACAATAAATAAATGTAAAATAAATAAATAAAATACACTTTAAAAAAAAATTAACTTCGGGTTATGTGCATTAGGTGTATATGAAACACACATGAGTTCCATGTCTAGACTTGGGTCCATCCCCAAACATTCATTATATATATATATGCAAGCGCTATTAAAAATGTTAATAAATGTTATTAAATCCAAAACATAGCTGTTTCCAAACATTGGATAAAGGATACTCAATTAGTATTATTAAGAAAGAAGAAACCAGTGCTTGGAAGAGAAGAAATGAGTGACAGGGTAAGCAGGGCAGGTGTTTGCACTTCAGCAGGAGACAGAAGGAAGCACTGGGGTGTGTGGCCTGACAGAGACAGGCTAAATTGAGCTATGGGGAGCAGGAAGACAATGCAAAGATGACGTCAGCACTAACTGCAGGTCAGCAAAACCTAATAAACAGTAAACTTGCAAATTGTAAGCCCAATGAAAGGGAAAAAGCCCTCCTAGATTGCAAATCTCTGGTACTGAAAACAAGTAACACCTCAGAATATCTTTTTTTCAGTAGATTGGAGGGTGGTAGGGGTTAAGAGGGAAGTAAGACTGTTTACATCAAGAAGTGCGAAATGGAACCACATTCTACAATGCCTGCTATTACTGTTGCTTATTTTGTTTTGTTTGCAATACTGGGGATTAAACTTGGGACTTCGCGCTTGCTGTGCCAGAGCTTATGATTCTGAGCTATCTCCCCAGCCCAGCACCTGTTATTATAGATGTAGGTTGTAAACAAAGATATTGGAGCAGCTTTATCTAGCACGTTCTCTTTAGTATTTTATTACAGTGAAAACAATTTCATTTATATCCTCTAACATCACAGCATTATTTTTTTCCATGAGACCTTAAAATACTTTTGGGCCCAATGGAATCTATGAATGAGCCAGATCAGATGTGAAGATGCCCATCAAGGATAAAGCTGCCCTACAGGTTGGGCTCCAGGCATGCCTCTGCAACCCTCCTGGGGACCCCATCCTAGATAAGTTAAGGACACGGACCTTACTACCTTGCCTGAGGAGGGGTACCGATTCAGGCAAGAACAGTGGAAGGGTGTCATTCTGCAGAAGCAGGCTTGCTTATTTAATGTATACACACAGTAAGCATCTACAACGAACAGCCACAGCAAGCAAGGCCTGAGGAGTGGGAGCCTTGCCATCAGGGGGCAAGTTGGAGCTGCCCAGGGTCCCATCAAGGGCACTTACGGAGCGCTTGTCAGCCTCTGCACCTTGCTGGCCCTGGAGACACGCAGTGAGCTTCTTATGTGTGCTGTGGGACACTTGCTTTACCAGCTCCAGGCGCTTCTCCACCTGCAGACAGAGCATGGGGTGCCATTGGGGAAGGGCAAGGTCAGAAGAGGGGAGGTTATCAATCTGAACAATCGTGACACCTGTCTCTAGAGATAAGACTTTGGGGAAGACATCATCCAGTGCTGGAGAGATGGAGGGGTCGACTGCAGACCCTGGAGCTTTTTTTTTAACCACATAATGAAGACTTCAGAGTTCTCCTCTAGAATCTTAGCTGAACTGTATAGTCACCCTTAGTATCTGTGGGGCTCAGTTCCAAGACCCCCTTGGATAACAAAACCTACTGATGCTCAAATCCTTACATAAAAGGTCATACTAAATGCCTAGATGTATCTAATAATAGCAAATCAGTTGATTATTTCTAATATCCAATACAATATAAATGCTTGCTATACTCCATTGTTCAAAAACTAATGACAATACTAGAAGTCTGCATGTGTTTAGTACCGGTGCCATTTTCTCAATATTTTGATCCACAGTCGCTTGAATCCACAGATGTGGACATGCACAGGTGGGTGGGCCAACTGTATTCAAAATGTAAAGCACTGTTGTGAAACACAAAAGGTTGTAGCTCCAAACAGTCTGTGCTCAGTGTCAGGAGCAGCTGCGACATCTGCGAGGCCACAGTCGATGACAGCCTTACCTGAAGAAGGTCTTCACTCAGAACTTCAGTCTTCTCTGCCCTGCGGGGAAAATTGAGAAACAGGTCAGTAACAACAAATACAAATAAAATGTATTAAAAGCACAGTCACATAGTTCTTCCTCATTCTCTTTTCTTAGCAAATAATTCAAAATAGAGACAGTCCTGGAACTTACAGGGAATCAAATGAGCAACACACCTGTGAAGGTGGCAAATAACATATTTTCTAATTTCCTGCTCCAGACAGGGAGCTGGATTGAACACAACAAGCATACACTTCTTTTGTTCCCAGACATGTCTTATTTTAAAGTCACGGAATTAATTAGGTTTCTCTATCTATGTCTCTTCGCCTCCTCCAACTGAGTAAACAGGCAAGCAAAAGCAGCAGAAACCTGAGGAGGAATCAATAAAAGACAAACACAGGGACAATGACTGAGTCCTGGGAAGTAATGCCAAGATCTGACAACCAAGTGCTAGGACACTATCCTCAAGTGACATAGCTGTTCACATAGAAACAAAAAGAAATGCAGAAAAAAGATCCTAGAACTAATATAAGTTCAGCAAGATCATATGAAAGTAAAGTATTTCTATGCACATGTAATAAACACCGAAATTATTAAAAATATCAGAGACAGTAGCTTAAAGGATATAATTCTTAGGTGTCAGTATACCAAAACACACCAAGGAGGGAAGGAGGGAGGAAGAGGAAGAGGGAAGAGGAAGACTCAGGTGAGTTATGTACACAGACCAGCTCCCCACAATGAGTGCAATCGTTGGCCACTACAAATAGGTACTAATACAAGTTAAAAAAAAATAAAAATCTAAACAAATAGCTCACACACACACACACACACACACACACACACACACACACAGAACTTGCAGGCTGAAAACTGTAAAGCGTTTAATGAAAGAAACCACTTAACAGCTAAGTAAACGGAGAGACATATCACGTCTATGGACTAGAAAATGCTGTGTATCAACAATGATCAAAACATATGATAAATGTTTAAAAAACTTTTATTACAGCAAAAGACATGTTGCTATCAGTCACCATCAAAATCCTCCCACTAGCTTGAAACACACTTATTCCACTGTTCTTGTCAATTTCTGAGGCAGTTCTGGAAGTCCTCTTTTGTGAGTGTCTGTACACAGTGTAATAAAAAGCACAGTGAATGCTACTGTCATTTGCCTTCTAAAGAAAAGGCAGATGCATAAGACACTACCTCGTGCCCACATTCGTCTCATTCCCAGGGTCTGGCACTAGGGCAATCCCTGGCTCTTCCCCAAAGCCAAACCAAAAATCAAAATCACTATTAAAGGAAAGTGTTCTGAGTTGATTCCAGACATCACGGCAGCCACAACTATCCAACTAAAGACACTTGCGAAAGAGGACTTTCCAGAAGTGCCTCAGAAAGGTGGCAAGAATGCTGGGATAAGCATTTGAAGCGTGGGGCAGTGTTCTCAGGGGTATTAACAGCAATGTGCTCTTTACTGAAATCATCATTAAAAATTTAAATGGACATCATAGTTTTCAATCATATCATCATAGCAAAGATGCCAGTCTCCCTAGACTGACCACAAATTGTCATCCCAACATTTCAACAGGATTTGCTGTACATATGGACTCTGAGACTGATTTTAAAGTACAAGGGAAGTAGAAAAATGGAAACCATTTCTAGAAAGAAAACTAAAGTTGTAGGACTCTCATGATCCAATTTTAAGATTTACTATAAAATTAAATAAGAGAGTTACAGGCAAAAGGCAAAAACCTACATTAATGGCACAGAATAGTCTAGAAATATACCAGACAAAGCTGACCCCCTAATCTTAACAAAGGAGCAAAAGCAATTCAGTGGTGCAGAAGAATCTTTCCAACAAATTGGGGCAAAATACAATGATATGCAAAAATTGGAACCCTAGTCCAGTCTCTACATCATATATAATTAAAGCATAAATAAATCATAGACTTCAAGAAAAGAAAAATTCTTTTTGGAGGAGGATCTAGTACCAAGGATTGAACCCAGCAGAATTCTCTTATGAAACCACAAGGCCAGATGCTTCATTTTTAGACAGGGTCTTGCTAAATTGGTCAGGCTGGTCCCAAATTTGTGATTCTCCTGCCTCAGCATCTATCATAGCTGGAATAATACGTGCTATCATGCCTGGCTATGTTACAACATTTTTCAAGAAAATATCTATGATATTGATTGGAAACCACTGACTCATAGATACTGGTACAAGGGCAAAAGCATAATTCATAAAAGAAAAAAATACATTAGATTTCTTCAAAATGAAACATTTTGCTGTTGGAAACACACCATTAAAAGATGAAAAAAGCCCTAAAAACAGAGAAAATATAAGTGTATCATGTATAAGATAGAATCATATCTAAGTTATGTAAAGGATTTTTATGTCCAATAAGAAAAAATTATCTTAAAATGGGCAAAAAATCTGAGCAGAAATTAAACCAAAGAAAACATGCTGATGTCAAATAAGCAAAAGGAAAGCTACTCAACGTTACTGTCCATTAGTCTAGTGTGAGTCAAGACCAAAATAAGATACAAATATTAGAATGGCACATGTGCTGCACACACACACACACACACACACACACACACACACACCCATGTGCACCCATGCACACAGGAGGTTGATAGAACTTTATTTATAATAATGAAAGTCTGGAAGCAAACCAGATGTCTTCCCACAGGTAAAGAGGTAAACAATCTGTGGAACATATATACAGTGAAACAGCATCCCAGAATACATAGGGATGGATTACTGACACATCTACCACATGGATTAATCTCAAAACCATTATGCTCAATGTTAAAAAGTCCATCTGAAAAAGTTCGATACGTAAGTATTCCCTTAGTAGAAAGCTAAAGTATAGGAAACCAGAGCAGAGATATGGGCTGGGGGTGGTGCACCACAATATGGTGGCATGAGAGAAGAAAAAAATTTTTTTTTCTTTTTTGAGACAGTGTCTCGTTACACAGTTCAGACTTGTAGTGATCCTACTGTCTCAGCCTCCCAGCACTGGGATTACAGGCATGCACCACCATGCCTGGTTTTGGGGCTGGCATGGTGCACCTGGCATGGCATGGTGTAGCAGGGATCGAACTTGGGACCTTCTACTTGCCAGGCAGGCACTTAGGCTAGCGAGCTATCTCCCCAACCTGAGAGAATTTTTTGAGGTTGGAACCTTCTGCATTTTTCTTGTGGAGGTGGTTACACAAACCTATGCATGTAGAGACTCATAGAAGTTCATCCAGTTTATTTAACTTTATATAATTTTTTAAGGTAAAAAAATATTTTTAAGAGATAAAATATTAGACAATAATACTGTGTGAGTCCAGGAGGGAAAATTATTGAAACAGTCTAAGCTCCTAGTAGTGTTCTTTCAAAAAGGTAAAATAACAGCTTAGATTTTGTTGAGTTATAACATGATAAACACTTCAAGGCTATCACTAAATAGGCAGACACACAGTATATATCTTACAGACTAACAGAAGCAAAATAATACAGACTTCATGCTGGGAACTAAAGGGTGGAAAGGGATGGCAGGTGAACCAGTAGAAAATAGTAATTTAAAAAGCATAAAGTAAAACAATAGGCACCAGTTAAAATACATGGAAAGATAAAAGTGGACTAAATACTCCAGTTAAAAACGAAAGATGTTCAGTCTGGATATAAGAAGTACAGCTGGATGATAACCATAAAGTTGTATGTTAGATATAAACAATTAAATATCAAGTTTATAATTTTGTTTTGTGGTGCTGGGTATACAACCCAGGGCCTCACACATGCTAGACAAGTGGTCTACCATTGAGCTACACCCCCAGGACCCCAAGCTACTTTTAATCAATGTAACAGATATTGAAGGGACAGAGAACTGCAATGTAATGATTAAAAATAATATTTAACTTGTTGAGAAATTATGAGAATTCTGAACTCAGGCATACATCATAAGAATCACAGAATATATAAATACTGAGAGAACCTCAAGGAAACCCTGAAAACTTTATCATAACAGAAGACATCATAATTTTTCTTTCTGTTAATGAGAGGTAGTAAAGGTACAGAAGATTTGAAGATTCTAAAATAACATAATTTGATAGACATATAAAGAATTCTGAATCTATTCATACAGAGGGTGAAATCTCATGTGCATAGAAATTCATTTCTAAAAACCAGCCATTTTACCAGCTGTATGAGTTAGTTTTCTTATTGTTGAAGCAAAATATCTTTCTGATATGTACAATTAGAGGAGAACTGGTTTATTTTGGCTCACAGTTTTTATAGGTCCATAGTCAGTTGGGTCCAAAGTCAGCACTGCAGAGCAGGATCATAGAGAAATACTTCATGGTGTGGCAGGGAGGAAGGCAGCAAACAGCCAAAGCAGCAAGCATCAGGCTACAGTCTATACAAGCTATGAGCCTATAAAGTGGGGCCCCCCATGGCCAGGGCGGGCCTCTCATTATCCACACCCTTAAGCACAGCATCACAGCCTTAATCCCAGTATCACACTCCAATACAGCCATCTTCAAAACTCCCCAGCGATGACTGCATGAGGCTTTGGAGGATCATATAGACATAGCCACAACACTAGACTACAATGCACTTCTCGACAAATAGAAAAGGACAAATGATATGCAAAAGTAAGATTCTCTAAACCCAATGCAATGTTCACTGAAATAGGTAACAAATTAAAATGTAAGATAAAATAATTTGGAAATTTATAAATTTGGAAATAGCGCATAGGTCAAAAAGAATTGTTGTTGCAAATTTTAAGTATTTAGAATTGAACAATGAAAATGTTATAAAAGTTGTCACTGTGATGTCACTGATATATTATATAGTATAATAAGCTACATATTAGAAGAGAGATTAAGGTACCTGAGAAGCATAAATACAAATAGAATAAGCTCCAATAAAGTAATGAAAATAAAGAAGTTAGTAAAATAGAAGTCAATGTAAGTTAGTTCTTTGAAAAGAATCACAAAATGGCAAACTACTACAAGGTTGATCAGAAAAGCA